GCAGCTCCCCATACTTCCAAAAAGAGGAGACGGACTTCTCGAGTCTAAGGCTGGGGTTCTGAAAGTGGCGGTTATACAACCGTAAGACGAATCTCAATAAGTGTACAACCCCAAACCCCACGTAGGCACTCACGTACCGCCAGACGAAAACACACATAACACACAACGATCAGCCAAACTAACAATCACATGCGACCCTACCTGGAATTTCTCATGCACGTCCCTACACGTTAGTTAACCACACAGCCAGTATGCCACAGAAATACATCACAGCCGCGCGCGTGCCTCGATTATAGAGCAAAACCCACTTGGGCACGTCCCATACCATGCCTAGCAGTTTTTACCCCATAATCGAGTATCACACCACGCGATACAAACACACTCGCACACCAACTCACACCATGCGTCACTTTCCACAATCCTCTCGCTTGTCTTGCCAAATCCCACTCATTTTCAACCTTTCCACCACTACCGCGCCCACGTAAAACGCATCGGGCCAACGGTCTTCTGACCTCGTCAGGCATCGTCACCCCGTCGGGCCGGGCATCGTCACCTCGTCAGGGACGGCATCGTCCCGCGTAAACGTACACGCCTCAGGACGGAATCCTACACACACTTTCCTTCTACCGCGCCCGCGTAAAACGCATCAGGCCAACGGTCTTCTGACCACGTCAGGCATCGACACCTCGTCAGGCCGGGCATCGTCACCTCGTTAGGGACGGCATCGTCCCGCGTAAACGTACACGCCTCAGGACGGACCTCTTTCCAATCAATCCTACACATCCGAACCTTCGTTCCACTCAAACCACACTTACACATGGCCAGCAACACTCACGGTCATACACAACCTCACGCCTTACACACAATCCACCACGTATGGTCAAACATACACACCTCACACACATTTCACGATTACTCATTCTCGTCACACGAACACGCACACATAACCACACACTCTTGGTACACAAATTCATTGCACAATCACACTCCCATACTCACACACCTCACGGCCACACGCACGAGGCACACGGCCAAGCCACATTCAGTCCGAAACACACACCAAACCAGCCAACCATCACGAGCCACACAACCACATACAAAGTGCCATTCAAGGCATAATTATACCAATCAATCGCACAATTCAGCCACAATCAATCCACAACACCTCAACCATCATCGAGCCTCCTAAACCTCGCAAATTTCCTTGCCAACTCAGTCTCCGATTCAGCCCACAACAACCACACAATCAGCCTTCAATTTAGTCCTAAAATAGCCACATAAACTACCAGAACTAAACCCTAAACATGCCCTACGATACCCGAACTCCTAAATGACATTTGGGAAAAACACTTACCCAAAAAGGCGAGACAGAACGGGGCTGGAACGGGCCGGGACAGCAGCAGCAGCGGGAGCAGCGTCGCCGGCGACGTACGGACGGCGTGAACAGTACTTTTCGTACGGACACCGTCACGGACATGGCTATCGGACGGTGGCCGCGAGGTGCCGATGACACCAGCAAGGTCCGTACGGTCCGGCATGAACAAAGTGATCCGTACGGACGTGGTGAATGTCCCTCTGCACGGGGACGCCTGTACGTGACGGTCCGGGCGGGGACGTATGGACGTGCCTTGGACTTCACCGGTTGTCGACTTGGATCCAGCGATCGGAGCTCCGGCGAAGCTCCGGATCAAGTTTGGCTGTAACGGGAAGAGAGAAAAAAAGAGAGAGAGAGGGCTGTTCTGGACTGAAACCGGGGCTGTGGTGGCTGGTCTTGGTCGAAACTGATTGCTGGTGGTGCTGGATGGGCGGGGACAGCTCCGGCTGGTACTGTTCCGGCGTGAACAGTACCGGTTTGAGCAGAAACGTAAACTGCAGAAATGGAAACGGGAAAAGAGAGAAAATTTTGGGGGAAATGGCTGAATGGTCTTCACGAGAGAGAGAATAGTCTGGTCAAATGAGTCAAAGTTTGGTGTGAGTGGAATCCATGTGTCTCAATCTAGGCCAATTGGACAATTTTGCCCTTGATCCAATGGCTATCTTTCCTTCTCATCCAATAATTTAGGGGTAAAATGGTCCTTTGTCACTAACCCAAGCTGACCAGACCTGGTTTAGCCCTAACTCACCTTGGTTAGTCCCCTAATTAAATCCAAAATTCGGAATTACCAAAAATGGGTCCAAGGGCATTTTGGTAATTTCTCGGTCCCGGGTCAAAATTCCAATTTCCGCACATACGCGTTCCATATGTGCGTGGCCATTATAATATGGCGTCGGAATCGCGAAATTCATTTTTTAAGTCCTCGAAAACTGACTGCAAAGTCATGGGAATAAAATAATATTATTTTTCTCTTCCGAGCCAAAATTCCAATTTTTGGCCAAAACCACTCTAAATGCACGTGGCCACCCCAAAATGACACTAGCTTCGAAAAATAACCTCAAACGACTTCAGAATCGCCATCGGTGACCAGAGGGGCAAAATCGTAATTTTTCCGGCCCCGGACCGAAATCCATTTTTTTGCAGAAATGGGTGGCCCCAAGGTTGGCCAAGCCAAAAACGTCATCGGCCGTCCAAAATTGTCACTTTCAAAATTCTCGATTCCCGGGCTCGAATTCTAAGAAATGATTAAAATTGAACAATCGCGACTTTAGCTTATCTCTGACTAACGGGTGGTTCTCTGGAATTACGCGCTCTCGACCCGTGACCGACACTAAGTCAAATCACGTTTAAGTTTACTCTACCCAGGACGACCTCGGTTGTCATATAATTGCGAGGGTCTGTCACTACTTCCCTTCGGACACGATCAATCAGATAGACCGGTCTCGGTTGTCTCAAAACATTCCCTCGTCAATTCATATGGTCGAAGATCGAACCTAGGTCGAGTTCTTTGGTCGTGCGAACTCAATCCCGTAACGGCCCTACCCCTAAGGTTAGCATCCCGTGAATGCGCATTTCCGGGTGAGATCTCACTATAAGTGCATTGGTCAAAATATTCATTCCTTACATCCTGGGAAAAGGATCGAAAATTCAGACTGTTACAAAAGCCGATGTTTATAGTTTTGGGATGTTGTTAATGGAAATGGCTGGCAGAAGGAGAAATTTAAATGCAAATGCAGATGCCTCAAGTCAAATTTATTTTCCTTTGTGGGTTTATGATCAACTCAACGAAGAAAATGAGGTCGAAATGGTAAATGCCATAGAAGAGGAGAGAGAGACAACAAGGATGATGATAATTGTTGCTCTTTAGTGCATACAATTGAGCCCTCATGATCGACCATCGATGAGCCGAGTACTTAACATGCTAGAAGGAGAGATCGATAAACTTCAACTTCCCCCAAAACCACTTTTGTATCCGATGGAGACGCCAGTTGATGATGTTGAGACCGAGATAGAACTTGAAACATTTTCATCTTCCTCAAGTGCTTCAACAATTTCTAGTAGTTACCGGTACGAGCATAGTAACAAGATTGCAAAATCTAGTTTTGTGTGATTGTAGAAATTGAATGCAAATTGTATATAGTATTGTCGCTTGCACATGATTTTAGTGCTATAATCTTCGAGGCTAACTGTTGGTACAACACTTATGATATACTGGCCATGAGATGAATTTCAATACATATGCCTCACTTACAAGGATTTGGCTTCAATGTGGGGCATAGTAGTTCATTTTTACAATACTAAAGCTAATTCTTAGATAGAATCAATTTGTCAAAAATGTCAAACTTAGAAACCTTCCTTCGTTATTAATGGGAAAGCTATGTAAAACAGTATCTGCATAATTCCCACTGATGGAACCTTTGGTTGGTCCACACAATTTAATTTTCTTGACTTGACTTAGCGTTAATTGGTTGACTTGAACATTTCAATGATAGATGACCCCCAACTGATTTTTCGATCGTCAGACAAAGGAACCTTCCCTGAAATGCTACCCGTTTACTAGTCAACTAGTGGACAACAAACTATTTGAAAGCAACTGCTAGAATTCAAGTCGCCCCACAGGAGAAAAGGCCAATAAGAAGTCGAGATTTATCAGCTCCCATAAAGCCTTAGAGTTGCTAAATAAAGAGCAACAAGACGTGACTTACATAAGCGGAAATCCAAAAATGTTTCTGTTTTCACCGAAAAAAGCGAAATTTTTTTATAAAATAGAGATTAATTGAATTGAAATATTGTCTAAGGTTCTTTTATTGACTTTGGATGAAAAAGTAAATGTACGTGTTAAAAATAGATATTTCTCTTCATTCTTCATATATCTCAAGATTATGCATATATCTCTCTCGATTATGCGTATCCTTTATTAATTATAATTGATATCATGATTATCTCCTTGCCCTAGATAGTGATCCAATGAAGTATATAAATAGGATCATGTATCACTTCATTATGATACATAGAATTATACAAGAACTACAGAATTCTCTCTTCTGCATCATTCTTACTTGTACTGATACTGGGAACGAAAGGTTGCCAATAATGTAAAGAATATTGGAAATGTAAATTTGCGAGAATAGAAATGATAAAAAGGTGTGCTATCATCGATTGTGTGAGCAGTGGTTACAATATTACAGTGTTATCAATTACAAGAAGTTACAAACACTGGACGCGATCTCTAATTATTTAGTATGTTCTATAAATTACCATTCCAGAGAATATTGGCGCAACTAAACAGTATTTATGTGCTCTTGTCGATCCATTGTCCATCTTTGACTAATATGTTGACAGACTTTCATTATTTGCGTAATTTTAACATATAACCAAAATTTGGGATCACCAACTATAATGATTTTGTTGGTCGATTTCTCTTGATTCCCGGTAAAGATTCTCATCAAGAACTTTCACCACCACGTGTCCATGACGGTAAATTTAGTCATACTCGCTTCATCCAAATGCAAAACTGCTAAAGTGTCTGTTTCTAATGAAGTTAGATGCACTGTTTAAACATTCATATGATGCACTTATGGCCGCTTATTAAAAACACTTGACACTCGATAGTTAATAGAGGCTCGGGCTAGAAGAGGCAAGAGCCTTCCAAAAAGTGGCTTATGCTGCTGCGTGCGGTGTGCACACGGTATTCTTTAGTAGAAGGTGAAAGAATAGTTCACTCTGTGCACAACGAACAGCCGTGTGATTTGACAACCATTGGCCAACCACATTACATATCCTGTAAGATTCTCTCCATCTATTACTTGGATCAATGTGGTAAGCGAACTCACCTCTGGAAATGGACAACCACTTCTTATACGTAAAAGCTGGGCCAAATTGTATTGCAAAGACTTGGGCCTCTGTTCCTGGTCCAGACGTTTGTGTGTCTGCCAGAGACAGACACCCATTTGGCTGACCTGGTGCTAAGAATCCGTGTTCTTTCTATAAACATTTAGGATTTCATATTCTAAGCGTACAAAAAGCATAAAACTTTCACTGTGATTTTCCTTTATAATATTCCATTTTAATACGTGTAATTAAGGTGCATATAGAATCGAAAGCTACTCAAATAAAGCACCTCGACTTAATTAACTGCTTAACTACTCGAATTCGGACATAATATAGCAGGATTCAAATAATTTACAAATGAAGTTTGATTAGCCAATAAGCAACCTGACCTGAAAATTTCAAATGGTTACGAGTGAAAGAACAGCCGTGAAGTTATTGGTGAAGACAGTAAAATTTCACTAGCTAAGTGGAATAATTTCTACAGTCACTTTAAGTTTCTTTTTTTTTTTTTCCTTTTTCACGGATAGAAAAGGGCGGGAAAGATGACTACTGCCTTTTTTTTTTAAGTTCTTAGAATGAAGATCACTGCCATTAGATATCCAATTCTACATTCGAAAAAAAAAAATTCTGATCAATTTTTATGTTAAATAAATCGCTAATCACAATGATTGTGTGATATATATCCAAATCAATTTTTTAAGTGCATACATTATATCTTAACTGGACAGAGTAAGCTCAAGGAAACACAGTAAGCTACTGGTGATTCTTCTATCAGTTGAAGCATATATGCTTTTGATTATCTGTTGTTTCTCCTTGTAGAAGACTCATGGAATGCAAACTCTTGGAGTAGCTATTCAATCAAGGACTTGACAGATCTCATTCGCAAGAATTCGGCCTCATTAACTGGCCATCGGTTGGCGCATACGTGCATGTGGAGTTCAAAGCAAATTACTCACACCAGTCCAAATTTGCAAATATTCTAGTATCTTTAAGAGGGATGAAGGGATGAGTCAATGAAGATTACATCTTTACTCAATTAACCTCACATTATACTTTATTAGAGAAGGGTATTTATACCGAACAATATGCATAGGAAAGGAAATAATCTAATCTAACAAGGAAATTAGCTATCTTATAGGATAACGAATTATCAAATAATATCCCTAATATCTAATAATATCTCTAATCTCTAATTGTCACGCCCTGGACCCTCGAGCGCGTAGACATCCTTCCTTGGTCGTGGAATTGCGACGTCCCAGGACGTGTCGCCGATCCATTCATTTTAACTTTCAATTAAATGCAAGCGGAAGCAATCATAATCCACCCAATCACAACAACAGGGATAGTCAAGAAAACATACCTCAATATATATAACATCATCAGCAATATATGGGGTTAACATATTACAAGTCCGCTACGTGGACCTTCCCAATTACAACCACAAAAGGTGGGGGGTTAATCTAGCTTCTCTATCTACGAGGGCAACCTCAAAAGGTGTTCCCCGTCAAAATAACCGGTTCCCATGGAACGCAACGCATACTCACACCTGAGCACCTGAAAAATGGTTAACAACAACGAATGAGATAAAACTCAGAAATTAACGACCTAAGCCTCGGTTAGGAAGTCAACTCGCCTCGGACGCTTCTAAACATGCAGCAACCTATTGATGGCAGATTAATAACAAAGCAACCCCTGCTTTGCCTTAACTATAAACACAAGCGGGTTACCCAGGCCAGCATAAACAAACATGCCATTAAACAATCGCAGCCATTTTTATCTTGCCTTGGCACACACACACGCTCTGCATATAATAAATCATCATGTGCAATCATAATGCAACAAGCATATAATACAATCAGAATACGCAACAACTTTCCATTACACAATGCATTCACACGAGTCCCGATTATAAGGTGAAACCGCTTCAGCCCGTCCCATACCGTGCCTCATAATTTCATCCCATAATCAAGCGCAATGCCACCACAATCTTTCATGCGTATTCCAAATTCTACGGCCACACAGGACACGGCACAACCCGCGTTACTCGCATCAGGTTGGCCCTCTACTAACAATCATAACTCCGCAATCGCTCCAATGAGCATATAATAAGATCACATGATTGCATAAACCAGAGGCATATTATAGTGCATAAGCAGGCACAACATCAATTTAATAATCCAGACACATATAATTATCACTTTCAGGTACAATGCATTCATCCATGCACGTTGCACTCATAATAGTCTAGATTATTAAACGACCACTCAGGGCCACAACCGAACCCCCGCCGGTGTCTTCCGGCATAACTGGGCATCGTCCCACTCCATCAGGCACGGCAACATCTGGAACTCCTGCCCAGATGGCATTCCATAAAGAACATCGGTCCGGCCTCAACCGCGACACGGCATCGTCTAAAACCCCCGCCTAGACGGCATCCGAACCCCCGCCAGGCATTGTCTAGAACCCTTGCCTAGACGGATTTTCATGTGACCATGCAGGCACACCAACCACTCAAGCCAATTCTTTATCTTTGAATTTAGCCAATGCAACAGGGTATATGATGTGCTTTTCTCTTATGCATAATGTTACATATTGCACTCACTTTTCGTACAATGTCATATATTGCATCCTCAGACCCCTGCTGGGTGACAGGTTCCTTTATGTGATCACGTGAGCACAACAAACACGCAACTCATTTATGTCTTAGCATTTAGCCAAATGCAAACGTGGTTCGTGCTCACACAACAAATTACTGCAACTTCCACACATAAAAATGCGGTAATAAATTCACACGTGATCACATATATATACTTAAACCATCAAACTTTGAATACTTCCTAATTCAAACATCCACGCCCTATTTAGCTCATAAAAATTGACATACAAACCTGACACCTCGGGATTTACTGTTCGTATGCCCGCAATTCCATCCTTAAAAATGACAATACAATTCATTTAGTTATACAAGCTAATTTATAGGGCAATTTCCAACATAGGCATCACAATTCAAGCCTAAAAAAATCACAATTTATTATTAAACTCTATACAAAAATATTAATATTTAAATTTCGAAAATTAATTTATTTAATAATGAAATATTAATAATAAAATAATCCGATAGCTTATCATCAAAACCTTGATAGCTTATCGTAAAAACCTCGATAGCTCATCACAATATCCTTGATAGCTTATCGCAATATCGGAGATAGCTTATCACTAAAAATTCGATAGCTTATCGCATTTTCTCGATAACTTATCGAGTCAACTTATCACTTATCGAGATAACTTATCGACTAATCCTTAATTAATTAGTACTAAACATAATTAACTTAGTCTAATCAAACCCTAAGCAAGTTTAACGTACTAATCAAGGGATTAGAGCGTTAACTCACCCGAAAACAATTCTGACGACAAGGGCGCGACGGCGGCGACGAGGGCTACGCGTGGCTCAGTCCGAAAACGACACGAAGTAGCGACGACGGCATGGACAGCAGCACCACAGCTTCTGTGGGCTGTTTTGGCTCGCGGTGAGGGTGAATCGGCGAGGAAACAGCTCGGACGGACGGCACACGACAGGGGAACGGTCACGGCTTGTCATGGCACTTGGCGGGTGACTCCACGGCGGCAAAACAGCAGCCAAGGGGACTGGTTTTGCTGGTGGCCGAAGGAGGAAGAGAGGGAGGGCCGAAATTGAGAGAGAGAGAGAGAGAGAGAGAGAGAGAGAGAGAGAGAGAGAGAGAGAGAGAGACAAGACCAACTTGTCTTGCAAACTTTCCCCAACTTCTCCTTCAAGTTTTCCAAGATCAATGGCCAAGGTTGCAAGACAAGCCAAAATCAATGGCTAGAAACTCATCTTGCAAGAGCTTCTAGAAGGGGCAATTTGATAATTAAGAGAAGATGAGAGGGGTATTTTGGTAATTTCAGCCCTTGACACTATTCACGACACTATTCACACGGGCTTGGGCTTGGGCTTGAACGGGTCCAATTTGAAGAGAAACGGGCTTGAAAAGGTAAATAGGCTTGAAATGGGCTTGAAAGGTTTAGTGGGCTTAAACTTGGGCTAAGCTTATTATTCTTGGGCCGAAATCCTCCTTGGGCCCTATCATTGGGCTTAGTTCCTTGTGGGCTTCCCGTCTCGAGCTTTTCTTGCACAAATTCTCAAAACTTCTTAAGTTGGGCCCCAAAAGGGCAAAATCGTAATTTCCACTCTATTGGGCCCTTGTGACCGACTATATAGTCCATGAGACCCATTGGGCTCTTAGAAATTTGTGGGCCCCCTTGCGGGCCCCAATTTCTAGCCCGAATTTCACTTTTCCAAGGTTTCTTGGTTTACTGATAAATAAGCGATTCCTAGAATTTTTCTAATAATTGTCTCTTAATCCTCTAGAGTCCAATATCCTCAACTGTATTAGAATTTATGGTTAAAATCACTCAACTGCATCTTTCATATAATTAGAACAATGGGTGGTTTTTAGGGGTTTCGTGTGTTTAACCGGTAGTTGATTCCAAATCAATCCACGTTTAAGTATTCTCAATCCATGGATGACCATCGGTTGTCATGTAATCGTGAGGGGTCAATAGCTCGTTTCGAAGCATACGATCATTAGGGATTGGTCTAGTGTCGTTCGAAATCAATATAGTAATCGTGCGGAATCACCCGCAATCCGATTCTATACTATTGTCGAATCGATCTATAATCATTCTTGGATCGGCTTGAAATGGCTTATGGTTGTTCTTCAACGATCCTTATGGTCGAATTGTCAATCCATGATTGAGTGCTTTGGTTGCGCGCAACGAAGTCTTAATTCGCCTCTCCCAAAGCTTGGAATACCCTTGAATGATTCAAGAATCAATTCAGTGCCTAATTCTACTCATTGCACATTGATGAAATAACCATTAATTACATCTTGA